CACACCCTCCACCAGAAACGTTACAAAGTGCACCTTTAAGCATTTTAAATCTAAATAGCAGTTTCCAAAAATGTTTAACAAAATGTAAAATGATGATCTGTTGTATCTATTTGTGAAGTTTAAACACAGCAGTACATTTGACAGATTCAAATTGGATTCAGTGGCTGTGAATGTGTCACATAAAAGCTGGAGAAATGCTTTCAGCTGAAGTCTTGGCAATAGCACATCTCCTCAGCGCTGTAGACAGCTCATACTCCCTGGGTCCCTCTTTACCTTGAATCATTTACATTTGAGTATTTCTGGGTATTGTGGATTGAATGCAGTGAGGAAGAGAGAAGGACTTATATTTGATGTGCTGTGAGTTGGATTGTTTGACACTGGCTTCAGGTAATCCTCAGACGAATGAGAGAGGAAGTCATTTAGAGCAAAGGCGCTAATGAAGTGGAGTGTTTGTGATAGCCCCGATGTGCTCTGGAAGTCTAAAGCACTTTTAATGGTTTGATTTCTGAGGAAAGTCATTTGTAGAATCAATAATACATCAATTATGAAAAAGCATTTTATTTTATTTTTGGATTAGTTTATTCATCCTGATGGCTGGAGCCTGGGAGATATCTGTATGCTTCTAAGTGGGGAAAAATTATCACTGTTTTCATAGTAATTAATAATTCAAAACTAAATATTGTCAAAAAAGCAAGCAAACAAACAAACAAACAAAAAAACGAAACCCCTTAAATAGACACTTACTAAACATTAGCACACAAACTGCCTTTGTGTCCTTGAGCAAGACACCTCTAAATCACTCGTGACAGTGGGCTGAATGAACCATGGCCCCTGTAATGTACTTAGAATTTAAATTTCTTTTAGTAATCCAGATTAACACTGGATTAAATAATTAGCTTTCCATAGATATTCTTCCACTAATTTGTATTTTACTGACAGATGATAGGCTGTACACTTCTCGATAAAAAAGACGCTAGTATATTATTGACTACTTTTACAATTTTACCATTGTAAGATAGGGCCAATGCTATTTTACCATTGCAGGATAGGGTCACTTGATTGTTCTCTCTGTGCTCAGTGCAGCACAATTTAATGAGGAATAAGAGCACATCTTGCACAGCTTGCATCTGTATATAGCTTGTGATTGTTACTGCAGTATACCTTTGTATTTCTAGGAAAATACAATAACATTTACTTTGTTTTTGGCTTTGTTCTTGGAACCAAACAATTTATGATAGAAATTTTTTTGTCTAGTAAGTGAATTGTGCACCACATCTGATCTAAATACTTTTTCTGTTTCTGGTGAGGCTGTCTCTAAATATAAACTCTGTTATTGAGTTTATGGGGCGGGTTCTTGTGACTTGAATGGTGGCTTTTAGCTGGAGCCCGAGGGGGAATAGGCCTCCATGACTCATTCACCTTAGTCTGTGAAGTGGAAATCCTCAACCTGTCCCTGTACACACACATGCACACATAGGAACAAGAAGAGAGGGAGAGAGGGCGAGAGAGACTGAAAGAGAGAGAAAGAAGGAGGGAGAGACTTAGAGGGAGAGAGAGAGAGAGAGAGAGGGAAAGAGGGACAGAACTCACACATGTGAATTGTGGGAGAGAGGAAAAGAGAGATGTAGAAGGAGAGTGAGACAGGGAGATAGTGAGAGAGACAGAGAGAAAGATAGAGAGAGAAAAGACAGAGAGATGGAGACTGAGAGGCAGAGCAGGAGAGAGAGAGATGCACATAGGGGTGCAGAGAGAGAGACAGGAGGCAAAGAGAGACACCTGTGAGAGCCTGAAAGTAGCAAACCATTTAAATTCAATTACTGTGTAAATTTAATAACATTCATTGATATAACAGCTTTGTATTATTATTTTTTTTTCCTTTTTACCACGTCACATTCCATGTCATCACCCCAAATCCTTCGCCTCCAAATGTGAGGTAATTTGCCTTTATACTTTTTTATTATTATTATTTTTTAATCCATGCTTGTGAGTAAGACAAACACACTTGGGACCAGAAATCTGTGTTTAATTAATTGTTGAGGGTAGCTGCAGAATGTGTAGAATGTGTTATACGCACATCTGTTTTCTATATTTTTGTTGGCATTTGGTATTATCCATAAGTTTTGTATTTTGCATCATATATATTAATTGTCTATTAGTGGTAGCTGTTGGATTCCTCAAGTGCTGTGAAAGACTGTTGCGTGTTAGCAGCCACTCACAGATCTGTGGTGAGACAGAGGTGTAGAGATGAATTCACACAAGAGGAACAGGTAACAGAACAACATGGCAAGGAAGCAAGGGGAGCACTGAGAGCTACTGGAACTGCTCAGATGAAGCTGATCTCTGTACATAATCTTAGAGGGACTATATAATACAAAAATACTACTCAACACACAATGTTCTTTAAATGTCATTTGGTTGGTTATTGGTATTTTTGTTATTGGTTTCCATCTTGGGTAAGGTATTTTAGTATTTACTTTAGAGATGCACAGTGTAACTTGGATTGGGTGTCCATTGTCCACCAATTTCTCTCCAGCAACTAGGTCAGGAATCGGAATAGACTAGATGGTTTGCAAGATCCCTGGAAGTTGTAGACTGCGCACCGGCCAGTCAGCGAAGAGCTGTGAAGCCATGACATCAAACTCAACCGCCTGACTGGGTCCCTTTTCTGGTACAGTCAGCGGAGCATTACATACATCACAACCGAATAGCAGCCATTGGTTAAATAAAAAAAGTACTTGCCTACTGTCGAGAGAACGAATCCTAATGCTGCGAGGTCAGACGGTTTCCACAAAGTGAAACCGGCTGATGAATCAGGCTACCAAAGTACGGCATTAGACTTGCATTCATTCAGATATACCTGTAACTGTTTATATGCTAAAAACATGCCTGAGTGGAGCCGTCTCTGACCTGTAACTTGCTTGTTTGCTTGTCTCTATGAAGAAATAAATTAAAGTGTGAGCTGCAAAGCTAAAACAGGTGACAGACAATTTGCCATAAAAGTTACATAGTGCTACTTAACTTGACTTTACTGTGTCCACTAATATCAATGACCATGATTTCCTTGGAAATCCACTGTGTAACTTTGTGAAGCTGCTGATCTTATAGCAGAGGATTGCAGACAACATTACTCATGTGTAGAATAAAATGAAAATAAAATAAAAACATATAAAATAGCCTAATATTAAATCCAATGGAAAACATCATTGGATGTCTGGTGCTTTGCATGTTTTAAAGCCCTATATAATACATTCCAACTCTCTTATATTGAGAAAAGCATCACAAATACCCAGTAGAATCTAGCTATTCTGTTGGTCTGTTTAGACTTGACTGTTATATCATTGTATAAGTTTTAATAGTTGCATCTTCGTACTTTATTTTATAGCTTCCTTAATGCACAATATTGCTCATTTTTAGTTTCATATCCAATTGCAATCATAATCTGCTTTGACATTATCCCCGTTAATAAAAAGGTTCTACTCGATTCTCTCAGAAATATTTTGTCTTGCTAATAATATTTTTGGCCCAGAGCTGTATTTTCAACACAGCAGCTCTCTGTGCAGGTACTTTAAAAGGGTTTAGTGCTGTCTTAATATGAAATTGGATGCCATAACTGCTTGTTTAAAGCCATATTTTCCAAGTATCCAAGTTGTTTTGTTGATGAGGACATTTGTGGAAGAAAATGTGGCTTTGTGGATTGCATACAACCCTTACATTCCCACATAATGAACAGGGAAATAATAATGCTGTATATATCTGCAAGGCCAAAAGAAGCATCCTAAGACCCTACCTCTACAGCTTAAGTCTTTACAAACCAGAAAAAAGAACTAAAACATTACATCTTAGCTTTTTTTTCTATGCAAACACATATTTACCAAGTCAAAGTGTCAGTTGCGCGTGTACAGATAATTTAAAAAACACCTAAGGCACACTACTTTTCTGGTGAAGAGGCCATTAATGTTGAATGTTCCACAGTATGGACAGTATTTAATCTATTTTGTATTAATGCAATTCCAGGTGTTTTTTTTAGTTAAAAATAACAGTCTTAATATAAGCAGAGCACCCGTTCCATAGATCTGACCTGTAACTTGGTCACCTGCAGACAGAGACTACACTGTATTAAATGCATATGTTTATAATGCCACAGAGGTGGGACCAAGTCATTGTTTTGTAAGTCTCAAGTAAGCCTCAAGTCTTTGACCTCAAGTCCGAGTCAAGTCCCAAGTTAAATACAGGCAAGTCAAAGTCGAGTCTTGGTCACTGGCCCATAAGTTCAAGTCATGTCCAAGTCGTCTGCTTTGAGCTTCAAGTCATTTCAAGTCTTTAAACCAAAGTACCAAGTATAGCTTAGATTTTTGCACTTTATATGAATTTTAAACTAAACTGTATTTAAAAAGTCATGGTATATTTATATATGAGTATTTATTAAATGCTTTTTTTTTTTTTTTTCCTTTTTAAATGTCTTGACAAGATCTTAGTGTGAATCATTACAATCAGAACAAAAAAATGTTCTTTGTAATTCCCTCTGTTTTACTGTATTGTACTGTATATTACTGTAGTACATTTGAAGATAACATCTCACAGTACTTCAGTTACATCCAAAGTAACAAATAGAGAAGTGGGACTGACGTTTTCCAGTTTGTTCCTTTAAAATTAAGTACTGCAGCTATCAACTGTAAAGAGAAAAGTATTTTCCAGAAACATATATATATTTTTAGGAGAAGCTTCAAGTCTTCTCAAGTCACAGCTCTCAAGTTTGAATCAACTCAAGTCTTAGTTTATTTATCAAGTCAAGTCCCAACCTCTGCAATGCTGTACTGTGGAACAAAAAAAAGAAAGAAGTTACATACTGTAGTTTGTTGTTAAAAGACTTGAATAAAAGAATACATATCTCAGGTTTTTATTGAAAGAAAATTTTACCATGAATCTGATGAATTCTTGTTGCAGTTTGAACACTTTTTTAACATTTGTTACTAACCACACATGTCCTTTTGTGTTGACAGAAACCTGCTGGACAGAGACACCTTCTCCAAATCTGACCCAAGTAAGACCCAACGCTCTCTGTTTGACTTTCTGTGATACTCTTGTTCTGTCTAAATGTTTTGTAACCACACAGTTCAGTGGAAAAGTACACGGCAGAGGAAGTAGTGGTGTAAACATGCTCCTGTGTCTCATATTACAAGTCTAACTGGCAATTGTTACTAAAAGATTAGAGATGATCAAATTATCATAACAATGTAACTATCCTGCCCTCTATGGGAAGTTAGTGCTGAAATGGGGTGGCATTAAATTGAAACTGTTAAAACCTCTTCCCACTCCTTTGTTTGTCTGCAGTGTTCCAGATAAGTGAAAAAAAAAAAAATACTCACTCCATACTTTTCTTTGTGAAATATGTGTGTCTTAACTGTGTAAAAGTGTGTAATCCTATGTAATCATTTATAATTGTGTGTGTGTGTGTTCAAAATATTATTCCTTTCTTCCTTGTTGATGTCTTTACCCATATTTTGCTTTTTGTTGCATGCAGACTTTTGTGCTTACTATTGCAAAACTGTTTTTTATCTTAGAATCTCAGAAGGTGCCAGATTTAGAGAGACACATCCCTTTATCTAATCCATATAAAATATGCGCACTATGAAACTTTTCTGGTTTGTCCACCATAGTACTCAACTGTTTTCATTATGCAACCTGTTTTAATTACCTTTTTGTAAACTTACTAACATCTTTAGTAAAGAATACTATACTACTATTTTTGAGCAATAAAACACATGTAATTAAATAGAGATGTTTAATGCCATACTGTGGAACATTCCTGACAAAGCAATATCCCTACCAGAAAGTTAGTGCATCTTTAACATTCTTAAAGATAGAACTATTACATTATTGCATAATATTAAGATAATATTCATTCGAAGACCTCGGCTCTTATGTATTTCCCTTTGACTGCTTCAAGGATTTCAATGCATTTGGGAGAAATATGGAGATGTGTTTGAGATGCTGGCTTTTTCCTCCTCTGTGTCTCTGTGACTCACCTCTCCAGGGCTGCTCTGTCTTACTGTGTGTTTGGCTCAAGGCTGATCTGACTAATGTAAGGACCAGCTGAGACACACAGCCTATAGAAAAACCAAGAGGTGGCTATAGCTTTCCATGTGGGCTATTCATATTTATATCACAATAGTTTAGTTGTTTTTCTACTAATCATATTCGTTGTATTGTTTGTAAAAAGCTATACTCAATATAACAATATTTACAGTGGCAACCATGCAGCGCAATATGAAATAAAGGTGTGTCGATGTCACATTTTAGTGTAATCATTATTCCTGCCATTACACTGACAAAAAAATGAAACTCATTATTTACTTGCATTCACATTGTCTAATAGTAGAATTTCAAGTCTAGAATGTGACCCGCTTTATAAAATCTAGCTTTTTGATCGCAAAATGTATGTTCATGTGACGAAAACAGCCAGAGAATAAAGACTCACTCTTGGATTTCTGTTATATGTGGATGTAGATAAATAGACATTATTTTTTAACACATATTATTTTTAGGTAAGGTGCACTGCACAACTTTTCTGCTTTTATGGAGATTTTATTGCTTTGCCTATAATGTTGCATGGTATAACAATGAACACATGCTTCTGTTGCCCAAAAATACAATAATTCCTTCTGTGAATAGGGGTGACACTCCACAGATCTGAATTGTAATGTATCATAGTGCTGTAACCTGCTTGCCTCCCTCGTGATTATTAAGCATCTATACTGTGGAACATTCTGGATGATGTAATACTATTTCCATGGAGACAAACTAGTGGCGGACCCTCCACTAGAAATGTTACACAATGCACCTTTAAGATTTTATAGTGACCTATGATCATAATTGCCAATTAACTAAATAAACTTGACATCTCTTAAAGAAAATGCATACTTTTAAGCATTACACATAACAAATTAACATTGGCCAATATGAATCCTGTTTTATGTTTACATATAAAACAGTGTAAATACAGTAATTACCTCAAAAGCCCAAAGCAATAAGAGAATCGTGCCTTGAACAGCACCATGAGCAGTAGACACTGTGAGTGATGAAGACAATGCAGAACGAAGTGCAGTGTTGAGGCTGTTTGATTATGCTGAGAGTGGTGTGTTCAGGGCCCTGATCTGAAACAGTGTGACAGGGCGAGAGGGAGAGGGTTTCAGAGGGGAGAGAGCACAGTGGAGAGCAGCATAGAGAACACAGGTGAGAGGAGAGAGAAGAGGAGAGAGAGAGAGCGACACGAAAAGAGATGAAGAAAGAGCTGAGGAGAGGAAGGAGTGCAGAGGAGAGAGTAGAGAACAAAAGAGGGAGTGGAGGAGAGAGAAGAGGAGAGAGCAGAGGAGAGAGGAGTAGGAGAAAGAGCGGAGAAGAGAGCAGAGGAGGAGCAGAGAAGACAGGACTGAAAAGAGAACAGAGAAGAGAGATCTGAAGAGAGCGCAGAGGAGTGAACAAAGGAAAGAGGAGTGAGGAGAGAGTGGAGGAGAGAGAGAGAGAGAGAGAGAGATCAGAGGAGAGAGAGCAGAGAAGAGAGCAGAGGAGAAAGCGAGAGAGAGTCCAAAATCCACATGTCACCTGTTGTGTTAAAAATACACCTCAGAGAGAAATAGCAACTGATGAACTGAACATATACACGTCAAGTTCATCCAAAAATGTTTTTAGAATCAACTATTGTGGAAAATATATTTATTTCCATATTTTTTGTTAAGAATTTAAAATGTTTAATAAATAAAATTCAATAATAAAATTTAAAGCTAACATTAGATTTATTTTTTTAAGATTTGACAAACTGATGTTGATGCTTGTGTTGTATACACAATAAAAACACAATTAGTTTATGATTTTATTTTGACATACGTGTTTTTTTGAAACCAGTAATTGGCTTCACTATGTACCTATGAAATACTTGGGTGTTTGGGAAAATGTGAATGTTAAACTAGAGTTAAAATTGTATAAAATAGTTCTGAAATCATGTCATTGTTTTGTTATTTGCTGCCCTTTGAGGTGTCAGTGATATTACTCATGTGTTATAGTTTGATATTGGAACATACACTTACTGAATATTTCTCCTGTAACTGCATTCTCTGCAAATTGTAACAGCAGTGAACATTGATGAGTGCTGTACTGACTTCCCACACACACTGTAGTAAAGGGTGACCAGATTTTTTAAATTAAAAACTGGGACAAAGGTTGGGATAGTTAACATAATACATTTGTGAAAAGAGTGTAAAATCTATTAATAACTCACTTGTGGGTAAGTATATAATCTGAGGAGTTTGTATTGGTGCATTTTTTGCCTTATAGCCATTTTCAAGCACGGTTTTCTGTATTTTACCTAAACAATTGACAGTATATTTGCCTCTATGCTATTGGTAGGTATCAGATGGGTCAGAAATAGGGACACATTGGATAAATCAGTGGTTTTGGATAAGTCTGGAACAGGCGACTTGGGCTCAAACTGGGATGTCTGGTCAGCCTACTATAGTAAAACAGATGAACTGTGTCATGTGCAAATCTTTGTTTTACCTTTTGATTGAGTATTCACTGAGACGCATCCATCCTTAACACTGTCAGCTCAGGCTTTGAGGAGAACTTTGAGCCCTCAATACAGCTTGTTTAAAGCTCTGTTTATTTAGTCACACACTCTGCTTTCACTAAACTGCCTCTCCTGGATCAATGTTTGTGTATTGGCTTATAGGACATTCACTCTGGCTGTTCTTTTAAAAAAAAACATCAACATTTTTAAAGAGCCTCTATTGCACTGTTTTCTGATCAATGTTATAATGTTGTTTCCTCTTTTAAAACTATACCTGGAGTTTTGTTTTGTCATAATGTTTAACACACAAACCCTGCATATTTAGGTTGAGTTTTTCTCTCATACAGAAAGAACTCTGTTCCACCTTGTGGTCTCATATGGTAATACAGGAAGGGCTCCACTGTGTTTTTAAACTCCATACACGTTCACATCATCTGCATAATTACAGCCCTGGAATTGCTAATCTATACTGAACTAAAGGTAAAAGGAGCTATTAACTTGGTGGAACAGAGCATTTTGAGCTTTTGAATTATAGGCAGACTAATAATAAAAGATTACTCAAAATGTGTGGATATGTTTACAGTTTTTTCATTTGTTTTTACTATGTTGTTTTCTATATGCAACACTTTGGCAACAGTCTTTGTTAATGAAATGTGCTATAGAAATAAAGTGGATTGGACTGAATGAAACAAAGCACATGAGTATGTTTGTGATGAGGTAACAACATTATAACATGACTTAAAGCTCACAAGAGCCAGTTTTGTGTAATATTGGACATATAGATTTTTCAAATACATTTATGTCATAGTAGCTAAACTCTTCATTCATCCCAGTTATAGTTTTAGTTCTACTCACAAATGCCTTGCTCAGCTCTGCCTCCAGCCTCTGTTAAACACCAGACTATTTTGTAACATTCACAAAGATTATACGGTTTAATTTCTATTTAAATGAATAAATCCCCCCTCACACAAACCCAGGCACTGGCATCCTCACCTTTAAATAAATCACATAATATTATGTGCCTTCAATATTAGAGCTGGTGTGAACACAGACACTTGTACAGTCATTTTCTGCTCCTCCAAATAACATTAAAGGCATGCTGAAATGAAGCATGATAAATGACTCCAGTAATTTGCCTTTTAGTGGATTGCTTTGTTTTGGAAAATTGCAAAAAGCATGAAATTAGGATTTTATGCTCTCAAATTGAAAAATATGCGTGCCTGTTCTTTGATGTTGTTGTTATATTATGCTTTCATACATAATTTGTCAAGCTCTGCTGCCTTTGTTCTTTTTGTCCTTTTTGTCCAACTTCTCAAGTGAAGCTGGCCCAGTTTAAAGTGTTAGTATTGTTTCAATAGAATTTATTATTAATCTATGTTTATTTCCTTTTATTTCAGTATGTGTCCTCTACACGCAAGGAATGGGAAACAAAGAGTGGAGAGAGGTAGGTACTTCTAACACGGCAAAGATAGATCCTAGTGATGCTCAAATTCTGTGTTTGGTTCTAGAAAGTCAGACATGTTGGTGAATCGATCAGTGTTGATGTATGTGTCACATTTATATTTAGCCCTTTTAGAAGTAATAAGGCATATTTCTCATGCTCAGGAGAAAGTGTGCGCACAAATGAGAGGAAGTTAGGATCTGGAGATGTGTTTGAGCAGCTTCGATGCTAACACCTGGATAGGGGGGTCAAAGGTCACACGCTGGAGGCTTGGTTCAGCATGGGCTCAGTGCAAATGGAATAAGTACTAAATAGTGTCCATAGGAATGATAGACAAAGATTATTATGCTCAAGTGTTGTCACAATGCTACATTTTCAAACATGAGTTTGATAGAAGGTTAGACATACTAATTTTGATAACAATATGTATTAAATATTTTTTTAGTAGCTTCTTCTTGATTTGAGTAGATTATCACTACTGTATGGTTTTACACTAGTTTGACTAGAAATCATGTTAATTTTGCAGTACTAGTTTATACTAGTATTAAATAGTAGTTGTGTATTCTCAGTAAGCAGTGTGCCTACTGCCTACATACAGAGGGTAACCTCGATAAAATAGTTGTAATTTAGTAGTGGCTGAGGGATCTCTTCACAGGTTCACTTATAGCTGGGGTACCTCATTCAAACTGTGAAAGAAGGAAGCTGTATTTAAACTCAGAAACTCATTGGCACATTGTATGTGTATCTGGCACAGGTTTAGGTCAGCTCTATATATTTTTAGATTTCACATGAAGCAGTAAGGTTTACAGCTCAGTCAATCCACTCTCATTAGGCACCAAGTGCCTTTACAATAAACTGGGGAAAAAACAAAAGGAACTCATTCATGAAAAATAAGTTAGTATTGGATGGTCTGTGTGGAAATGGGTGGTCTTCCCCACATTCAATTTTCAGTGTCTGCTACCACATGAGCCACTCAGATTTAAAAAATTCCTTTTTCAATGTGAAATGGCGTATAATTCAGGCTCACATTTTTTAACAGGCTCAGTGCATCCTAAGAGACTATAAAGCTTGCATTAAAATATGAACACTTAACTCACAAGGCCTAGTTATTGTAGGAGTATAAACATAAAGACGTTTGCTTCCAAATTCAGAGAGATCCACCCACATCTTTCTTTTTTACATTACAAAAAGTGTAACTTAGAACTACTTCATTCACATCAGGTGCCATACAGACCAACTTCAAAAATAGAAACCATGTTGCTAAGAAACTAAAGTTTTGTTCTATTTGATTATTTCCTTATACATGTCTATTTGAGTAGAGAATCCAATGTAAAATGTGCAACAGATTAACATGCAAGTACAGTGTAGATGTGTTATGTATGAAGAGGCTCCTATGGAGGTGACAGGCACTCAGGCTTGTGCTGCATTCCATTTCTACTCAGAGGTTGGGTTTTCCAAGATTGTTTTGAGTTAGAAAATGCAACATGGCTGCGCCCTGTGTATTGATGAAGTTTGATATCCAACAGTTAAAATATTGCTTGTACTTCTGTTAGTTTGCCTTTAGTCACTGTACACCCACTTGTTATTGAGAAGACAGAAGGAGGTTGTAGAAGTTATCTTCATTTGTAGTGACAAAAATCAGGAAACAACAATCAAAATGTACGCACAAAAATGAAAGAACAATTGATATGATTAAGTGAACACTTGCATTGACCACAGTAGGTACTTACTAGGCTGGAATGAGGATATCCCTGTTATGGCGTCTTAACTAAGTGGATATTTCAAAGTGGCATTTAGCTCAGGTAATGAATTCTAATCTATGTAAATGACCAGAGAGATGTGCAGCCTCTCTCATTGGCAGTTATCCACAGTGGTGAGTGGTCTGTCATCTGCATGCATTATTAATAAGGCCCAGTAAATGCTAAAGTGTGACCTCACTGACCCCTATTGACTTGTGCTTGAGCTGATCCTGGTCCATTAGTTCAGAGGTGAATACAATCCTCTGTAACCACTTCAAACCAGTGCCTCTCCTAGAGAGAAACTGTCAAATTGGTTATTTCACTGAAGCCAACTTAATCGCTCAGTATGGTTTGAGAAAGGCTCTACAACGAACACCCATGTCCAGAGGTGGTGCTCAAAATGACATAAATCAATACTATATATCTTCTACTGGAGATTAAAATGTAGAGCCCGACCGATATATCGGTTGGCCGATATTATCGGCCGATATAAGCAACTGGAAGATATCGGCTATCGGCCGATATACTTGCTGATAGGGGCCGATATTTCACGTGGGCATGTTATACGTCGTTATAAAGCTTAGACTCTCTACATTATGTTCATTTAATCCAATTTACAAACATATTAATGTCCAAATATGTGGCTCCGCATCAGTATTTATCTGCGGAGTCATTTGTCTGTGTGTGTTCATACTGTCCCTGAACACACCCCCAGAGTCACGTGCGTTTGTTTACATCCACAGATATTGATCTAAACACTGAGATAATTTTTTTTTACGGACAATCGGTTTGAGTCTGCATTAAAAGGACTTTTATTAGTGCAGACCTGTGATGTGAGGATGAGCCTGTGTGAGCGGTGAGTGTTGGAAATACATTGACTTTGAAGCTAGTTTTTGGTTAGCTATTTGCTGCTGTAGCTCCCGCACATAAACAGGCTGTTTTCTATTGGTCTGTTGTAAAGTGACTATATTGGCCGTATATTTGTTACTGGACCAGCATTGATATGTAAATGAACTGTGAATAGAAGTGTGAATGATGAAATTTGCGCATATAATTAATTACCGCGGCGCGCACGTATTTACGGCTAAAGGCTAATAGCGATTGTTTATTTACTAGCTAGGCTAGTAGTGATGGGTCGGTCGCGAATGAAGCGGCTCTTAGAGCCGGCTCTTTGAAGCGAACGACGGGAGCCTGATCCTTATTGGGATTGGGAGCTGTGTTTTCTCTTTCTCTCACTTTTTTCTCTTCACGCTGCATGCAGACTCGTGGTACTTTGACAGCGGCAGTGGCTAAAAACGAAACTTTCAGAAATATGCGTGTGTATAGGGCAAAAAAAGAAACGTGCATACATATATTCAGCATAAAATAAATAAACCAGGACTAATCTTGGGGTCGAGAGATAGAGACCGAGTCCCGACACTCAGTCCTGGTTAAGTTCTGGTTTAGTCCTGTTTTACACATAGTTTAGATCTGTTTTAGTCCTGGTTTAGTGCTTTTTAAGTCCTGGTTCAGTTCTGGTTTAGTCCTGCTTTAGACCTGCCTTAGACCTGCTTTAGTCCTATGACATATCATGTAAAGAGGCAGAATAACAATAAATGTTGCCTAAATAAACCCAGTTTAAAATCCACAAGAACCAAACCTAAGTTTATTAAAAATAATTCAAGATTTACAGTGAATTTTTACATCACTAAATATATCGGCAGCGCCAACTTCCATTATATCGGTATCATATCGGCAACAACAAAATCCATATCGGTCGGGCTCTATTAAAATGCATAAAGAATAATATATCATATCATATCATATATATATAGCATATCTATCATATCTATCTATATCTATATAATATTATGTATAGTGTATAGTCTATAATGTTTTATATATATATATGTGTGTGTGTGTGTATAGTGTATAGTCTATAATGTCTTCTTTTTGTTTCTTTCAACAGTTTGGAAGAACAGAGGTGATTGACAACACATTAAATCCAGACTTTGTTCGTAAATTCATTTTGGACTACTTCTTTGAAGAGCGCCAGAACCTCCGCTTTGACTTGTAAGTAATGCACTGATGTGTATGCAACTGTCTAAACATATTTTTCATATTTGTTGTAGTTTCATCCTCAGTCTGTTCCTGAAACCATTAATTTCAGCATGCTAATTGGAAATCAGAGTTTCTCACTGTTCCCCACTCGTTATATGACACTTAATTTGCATCATGTGGAGAAGGTTAAGTAGACTGTGGTTTCCACTGGTACTTGATTAACTTCGAGTCATCGGACTCTGTAATATGGAGTGTTTTACAAAAAAAAAAGAAAATCCAATATTATTGAAAACCATAGCTGATGAATGCCAAGAGTGCAAATGTTTCTATTTAGAATAGCACAGTTCTCTATTAAAACCTCTTTCAGCTGAATAAATGAGGTATAATAACTGTATTATTATTTTTTATTTGAATATAAGATTATACCTAATAAATATGGTAAATATATAAGTACGTGTATTCTACTTTTCCTCAGTCTCCTCTGTGCTTCTGTCATGTTAGATCAGGCTGTTGATGTTTACCGGGTGAAGTGTCGGACATGATCCGACTTTAATACTGAGGCTAAGCACTATTACTCTATGACTGTAGAGATTATTGTACTCTGCTCATTCTATAGAACACGGTTTATAATTTGAGTTTATATAGTAGTCTTGCCGTCCAGACTACTGCTAGCTAACAATGCCAACAATAAAGGTCAAGGTGTCCAGTTTACATGCAAAGACGTGCGTCTAGGATGTCTTGTGTTTTTGCGTCTTCAGGTGTCAGCGCGACAAAAATCTGGCATCAACATGGAGCATCTTAAGCATTCAGGCGCATGTGCAGGGCGTCGGCATCATGAGTTGAAAAAGATGAACTTTTGGCGTTGGACTCTCTGGGTCAACCAATTAGGGACTACTATCCAGTGACATAGCGACATTATTACTTGGAAGGAAGAGAAGAAAGAGAAAGACCACAAACACCAGAACAAGAAATCTACACGTGTCATTAGCGGAGTATAAATATATATATCAACCGTAGCCGCTGAGCTGATCACCTCCGCTAATGGGTTTTATGTAATAATTATACTAAAGCCTCTCTCTCGACAAGGCATTCACAGACCGAAGCAGACGCCCTGGACGTCAGAGGCGCACAGACTGCAAATGCCTATTTTATCTGTTATTATTTATGGAACACCCAGTAAATGCATATTTATATTATTATTTATTATATTGTAGGCTATATTATTTTTCTTGATTGCATGTACATTTAAATTTCCTATGGTTTACCACTGCTCTCCTCTTTACTGCACTCCAAATGTCAGTGTCTCATGAACAGTTTTTATTGTCTAAGTCTAATGTAGGCCTATAATAGGCCCATAATTTACCTTTGACAACTTCATTGCAATCTGTTGCTCATTAATACTTCAGTGTTGTAATTTGGTAAGATTATTCTGTTTAGTTATGTACTGTTGCCCACAGTACGTTATTTATTCTCATACCTAAAAAACAATTAATTGCCCACTAATTGACTTCCTAACGTAGGTTAGGTCTAGCCTACCTAATACACATTTCAATGTGTCATCTGATTATTTATCACGTAACCTTGTGTCTTCAGCACATGCAAGATGAGCGAAACGTTAATATATCGTTCACGTAGTAACTGATGAACAGTGTCACTATGCAGCTAAAGACATTAGCCTTTAGTTCCAGTGGCAAAACAAAACAATCTTCTTAACTTCTCATCTTCTCCATCTTCCACTGATGCAGATCACATGTTTTGGTTTAGCCTTGAAGCTCAACCAATCAGAAGCAGAGAAGCAACAATCAGATTTGTAAATTTGTATTGGGCGTGTCTGAACTCAAATCAGAGGCATCCAACTAAAGGCGTCCAGCTCATTTTTGGCGCTGTGGTTTGAATCATAGACTGTATAAAAAAAACTGACTAAGCAAGTGTGATGTCACCCATAGTATTCCATGCTAAATGAAGCTTGCGATGCTAATGCTTACAGGAGCCAATTTGGAGCCAAGCTCTATGAAAAGGATTTTTTTGATGGACAAAATAGGGGAAAAAAAACCCCAAAGAAAAACAGAATCATGTAGAGCAGGTTAATACAAACATTTTAAGACTAAAATGATGAGGCTCACAGCAGTGAGCACAATGTAGGTAGCTATAGGAGCTCGAAGAGCCCACAAACTTATTTGGAATGCGATGGCTTGCACATTAGCTATTTCCATTTATATATACAGTCTATGGTTTGAATGCAGCTTTATGCAATACTAACAATAATTAGTGCACACATAGAGACACATTTAAAATTTTGAAGATACAGATTTGGTTTCAATCCCAGAGAAGTGTCCTCCAGTGTTACCATAGTTCTCTCTTCTTCTTCTTTACTATATACTTGTTAACTCAATTGCTTGTTTACGTGCTCTGCTGTGTCTAACCAAATCCAAAGCAGGTATTTGCTGCTATAGGCTCTAGCTGCATCACTTTATTCCTCTCCTTGAGTTTAATGGCATTCTCTTGGGTTTTGAAAGCTCTGAGAGAGATGGTTTAACAAAATAACAGGAATACCATAGATTGTACTTTTCTCATTTGCCGTGGACAGTGTATACAGACAGGCCATCGCATACGCTAGGGTTCCTTAAGCTACTCAAAGTCCTAGTATGTTAATAAGGATTTGGGAGATACAGCCTCGAATTGCTTCACATCCTATATACCTCATACATCTGCACATAATTTACTCTTATATACATGAATATATATTTTTTGTATTAGTGCTACTCTTATGTTATACAATTGTTACTATTATTAAAGTCTTGTACTTTTTGAGCCACTGTGTTAATTGTATCCTGTGCACCTCAGAGCTTTAAAGGCACAATATCTGATTTTTAGAGGTTTGATCCTATATTATGCAAAACTGACTCATGTGAACTTTTAGTCATAATGTTATAATGTTCTTACCTTCTCAGAAAATATACCTGAAGTTATGTTTTGTTTCATTCACTTCATTTTTGAATTTTATTTTATTTTTTTACCTTTCATGCAGCTGAGATTGTTAATAAAAAGTCTCCAAGAAGCTGTAACTTCAAAGTTAGGCAACTCCATTAATGAAATGATCAAAAACACAGTGGAGTACTTCCTGTATTACCTCTTAATGACATTACAAGGAGGAACAGAGTGTTTTCAGTTTGGGAAAAGAACACAGGATATATATGCAGGATTTACAGTGCAATTACAGAACAGTGTAATATTTGCCCTTTAATGTACCTATAAGTGCACTTTTCCTCCTGGTTCTTTGAATACTTGACCCAAAACAGAGCTATGATTCCAGATGTATTATCACCATCTCCCTGCTAATTGGTGCTCCAGATAAATGTGTAACATCTCATTCAAATGCGTGTAGATAACTGTAGCTGAGGTGAGGTCTTCCTTGTTGTTTGTGAGAATGTTGTGAAGACATATGTAGAGACACACTTTGTTCACTAGGCCATCTGTTTTTGTGTCAGTATTGTTTCTATTCGGCCTGTGTTTCATATTATATTGTCTTGTGCATGAAGAGCTAGCCTGTAAAGCATTGCTAATTAAGACTGCATTTTATTTGTGATGGAAGTCTTGCTGTCTTCAATCCCGTCTCATTTGTTTCTATCAAAAAAACATTATCAGCGTATGCAAGATTTCAGCTGTTAATGAAATAGCATTTGTCGCCTCGGGACTGTACAGATTGCTTATATGCACCGTGTGGTCTCACAGTGATTTATGAGACCATTTTATGTGTAATAGACTTCAAATGCGTACTCCTGTCAATCTCATTTATTTAAAGGGCACAGCAATTGCAAACCATTAAACCTACTGGCCACGCTGACCAATGTGCAGGCTGCCTAGTCGTTTAGGTCAATATATTGTTAATACACAGGCTTTTTGTTGTAATGGTGATGTATGTGCACTGCCAACCAGGATAAACAACATCATTTAGTGGTAGTGAATATATTCATTCTGCAAAGATAAGCACATTAATATTTTTATTGGGCTGTCATTAGTTTGAATTTGTATTATGTATTATTGTATTAATTGTATTTTTTTTCTTGCTCTTGCATTTAATCTTATAATTATTTGTTGTATAAAGTACACTTCACATTGGTATATTGACAATACATGAGATACAGATATTACTCCCTCACAGGAGAACACTAGACAGTTTATTCATTACTTTCTAAACTTTTTCTTACTCATAAGCTTTAACACAATAATACCCTTCAGTGATTTTTGGTTAAGATATTAAGGACAAGAATAGTCTTAATTATATTTTATATTAATCAGAGCATTCATTACCATTTCCTCTTGATATTTGTATTCCATAATTAGCATGATGAAAGCACCATTTTATCCCCAGGCCAAAGGAGCTGCTCTGTGGGTGACCTCTGCTCTGTGAGTGAATGTGGACTGATTAGCTCTGTCTCCTGTGAGGCCCTGGTCCTCCTGGGCAGCCATATTGGAAAGGTTTTCTGCTCTGACAGTGTTTATTAAAGCTGTGTAGGTGCACTGGAGAATAAAGAGAGGAGAGAGAGAGAGTAGGACTTAAAGCACAGCCCACTGTGATGGGAAACATGCTGATTGTCTGCACTTTTAGCTGTTCTGTCTTCAGTATCACTGCTCTATGACCTGATCACATGACTGGATAAAATCAAAGCTATATCATATTTGATACTATCATGGTCAGTTGTAAATCAATATTTCATAGCTACACAACAGCTAATATTTTATTTAATGATCAGTGATCAATGCTACAGGAATTAAGGTTTTGTCACTAAGTCATAAGTATAATTCTATTTTATAAATATAACCATTAATTGTGACATAAAGGCATAGGTTTAGTCTTGAATTGGAGGTCAAAAAAATTACATTTTAAATTAAATTAGCAAACCTAAAGTCTAATGGTTTTATGTAGCACTTTTAAGAAACTATTTCAGTCAAGTAATTTCCAAAAGAATTGTTATTTGTTGTTCACTGTAAATAAGGGTTTTAGTCACAAATTTTTCCCCTTCAGTTTTTAATGACTTTGCTCATTCAAAAGAAATAATATTTAATTTGTGTTCATCTCTCTGAAACTCTATTCCAGTGGTAAGTTTATTAGACGCTGCTGTACAAAGAACAATAGAAAAATCAGATGTTGGATTCTTCTCTCAAACAGAAAATACACTATTCCACTTTGTGATGCCATGTGGTAATACAGGAAGTGCTCCACTGTATTTTAAAACTACATTCTAATGTACAACTTCACTAGAATCATTTGGATCATTTCAGCCCTGGAATTGCTTATCTCTACAGAACATCTACAGAAGCATCACTACAACATAGCTTAAAACTCACAAGAATCAATTTTGCCTAATACAGGACCTTTTCACTTTTCTTCAGTAGCCATGTATTATCTAAATAGTATGCATTTAATGCCGTTGCTGTCTTGTAGAGATGGAAATGCCCTTAATTCTCCCATGATGCACTCTGACAGCCTGTTTGGACCTATTACTGTTTTATACTGGTGTATAATGCTCCCCAGCTGAGCCTCTGTCGCAGTCTATAGCTTTACATTGGCCTAACTCTGCCCTTTCCTCCTCCACCCTACAGGTATGACGTGGATTCCAAGAGTGCCAACCTTTCCAAACATGTAAGTCTTGAGCTCAATTCATAACATTTTTACACCATAACTTTTGGGGTGATAAAATTCTTTACCACTAATCACATAAATGTTGATATGAAAAATGTACTGTATTTTAGTAATGTATTTGTATAGAGGTAGTGGCACTGCTATCATTAATATTAGCAGCAGTAGTAAAAATACAATTGTTACTAGTATTATTCTGTATACATGGGTACAACAATGTATGTAGGTGATATTTTGAGGACAGACTACTCAAAAGATCTCATATTTTGAATATTAATTGCTATGGCAACTGTATTAGTTTTAGTATCTGAAGGAATAGCAATTGTCAGCATTATCAGCATTAGTACACAAATTATACTTCTACTTCTATGCATGCTGTAAATCTGTAACATTAGAAGTTTGTACAGTCATTCAGTCTTGGAGTCCTATTTCCTCTGTTGCACTCATTAAATTCAATTAGCCTGATTTGTGCTTCATATCAGTAATTGTACCATTATAATAAGTGTGTTTATCACCAGCTTCACAGTACTGAACCTATCAAACAAACAGAGATTTCCCTTGTCCACTCTTTTAGCACTGTTTACTGCCATAGCTGTGATTAGCATAGCAGTAATTAGAAAGAACAATACAATCATTTGGTCTTTGAATAAGTGGGGGATTGTCGATTAAAGAGACTTGCTGTACCAAATGTCCCCAAACACCTAGTCCAATTGTACACACGCAGACATGAGCCATATTAGAAATGCCTTTGCTGGTATTTATAGCCTGGTTGTTTGGGTGAATAATTTTGATCTATATTCAGTGTTGGGTCATTGAATCCTTTTAGGAGAGCAAAGTAGCCGTGGCTAATGTCCCTAATACATGTGTAATGAAAGCATTATTTGGTCATTACGATCCATTTGGCACTTTAAAAGCAGCTTGTGTTTAGAGTCTGGTCCCTGTCAGATGTGAACTGCTGCCATTTTCACACTCAGAATACAGTCCCTGCCATCATTACAAGTGATGGTATATAGCCAGAGAATGTACCTTTTACTTTCTTTTTTCAAGATTTACTATGTCAAGATTTACTAGTTGATCAATAATTGGGTCCATTCAGCTCACAATATGATCATATTGCATAGTTTACTTCAGCTTATATGTATCATTCTGAGGTTTTTTTCATTATTAATGCCATAGCAATGGTATTACATGATGTAAATTAAAGTAAATTTATATGCACTTAATTATCAAAAAGGCATCACAACTGAACCTGTATTGCCAGTGTGTAAACCTGCAGATAGATCAGTATGGGATGGCCATTCTTCGTGTGAAAGTCTGCAGAATATATACAGGTACACTGAGAGCACTGATTAATGATTGACTGTGGGTGCTGAGGTTTAAGTAGTGAGGATTCAGATCAGAGAATGACATTTTATGTCCAACTGGATTTTAGCAATGACACTGGCAACCCAAATGAGAGACTTTCTGACATTTTGATGTCTTGAGAACCAAAACATTGCATAGTACTATTGGTCCTTTTTTTGATGATTCATGTGGGACATAGGTTACAACATACCAGACACAATATGCCTGCTTTAAGAATTAATCAGCATTAGAGGTATTATTAGTAAAAGCTATATTTTATTTGAACATGTCTCGCTCATATCTGGAGACACAGATTGGTCAAGCTTATGAATCTGAATTCAGAATCTTACATGCAACTCCTGAAATGAAAGTGTTCACTGAACCTTTAAATCCTGACAGTGACTTTTGTTCACCTGTTACAATGTTCTTGAATGTTCTTGTCTAACCTGTTCCTCTACATAACAAATACACTGAGTAAACGTCACTACATGAAACAATGTGTCTAGAGTACATATGGGTTTCCTGTTTACAAACATTGGGAGATGTGCACACAACTGATGAGCAAGAGATGCTAAGCAGCAGAGTGGTTAACATTACAGGTCCTATTGAAGCTCTGTACAGTGTATGATTAAAACCGGTTTTCTAATTGGCTTGTAGACTTTTGTGTGGTTTGTGTACTCTTGCTGACAGCCTTTAGAATAACATATCATGTGTTTAGATTTTAATTGTTTAATATGTTGTCATAATAACATTATATTATGTAGCTTGCAGGTAGGCTACTATCTTTGTTGTTTATTCACTTGGACTGCTCTGTCATGTTTGAAAGTTATGATATTAAATTTATCGACTGATATAAAAGTTTAACAAAATTACGTCTGCTTTTCATGTCTGTACATTTGCTTTTTTTCTCTGCTTTTCATTTGCATCATTATAGCGTCTTGACCTAAAGAGCCTACGCTACCTAGCTCAGATCAGTCAGTTAATCAACAGAATTATCAAATGTGTGCACAGAAAAGTGCAAAACGAATCAGATATCTGAGTGTTTAACACTTTATAGGATGCTGACATCATGTCTAACATATTTGTGAAAATTGTAATGCAGTAGTATGATTTATTGACCTTGTTTGTCATCTTATGAACAAGAACTTAAGGTGAAGTAGCTAAAATATTTACGACAACTTAAAGTATGACCTGTCATAACTGGATACTGTACTGTACTAGCATAAATGCTCTATGACTACTGTACACAGTACAAGAGGCCAAATTGCCAAGTTTAGGAAGGCTAACACTGCAACAGATTACACAGAAACCATGAATAGTTCAGACCGTGCCAACTACCTAAGTAAGTTGATCTTCAACAATGGGCTCCAGTTGCATGATCCATAAACCATTCTCACTTCTGTTTGTGCTGTTAACAATACAACAGCTTCTCATTGTAACGTGGGGAATGCTGCTGTCTGTGTCTCTGTGTGTGTCTCTGTCTGTGTCTCTGTGTGTGTCTCTGTCTGTGTCTCTGTGTGTGTCTCTGTTTGTGTCTCTGTCTGTGTCTCTGTGTTTGTCTCTGTCTGTGTCTCTGTGTGTGTCTCTGTGTGTGTATCTGTGTGTGTCTCTTTGTGTGTCGCTGTCTGTGTCTCTGTCTGTGTATCTGTGTGTGTCTCTGTGTGTGTCTCTATCTGTGTATCTGTCTGTGGATCTGTCTGTGTCTCTGTGTGTGTCTCTGTGTGTGTATCTGTGTGTGTCTCTGTGTGTGTCGCTGTCTGTGTCTCTGTCTGTGTCTCTGTGTGTGTCTCTGTCTGTGTCTCTGTGTGTGTATCTGTGTGTGTCTCTATCTGTGTATACGTCTGTGCATCTGTCTGTGTCTCTGTGTGTGTATCTGTGTGTGTCGCTGTGTGTGTCTCTGTGTGTGTCTCTGTGTGTGTCTCTGTCTGTGCCTCTGTCTGTGTCTCTGTGTGTGTCTCTGTGTGTGTCTCTGTCTGTGTCTCTGTCTGTGTCTCTGTGTGTGTCTCTGTCTGTGTCTCTGTGTGTGTCGCTGTGTGTGTCTCTGTGTGTGTCTCTGTGTGTGTCTGTGTGTGTCTCTGTGTGTGTCTCTGTCTGTGCCTCTGTCTGTGTCTCTGTGTGTGTCTCTGTGTGTGTCTCTGTATGTGTCTCTGTCTGTGTCTCTGTGTGTGTCTCTGTCTGTGTCTCTGTGTGTGTCTCTGTGTGTGTCTCTGTCTGTGTGTCTGTGTGTGTCTCTGTCTGTGTCTCTGTCTGTGTATCTGTCTGTGTCTGTTTGTGTCTCTGTCTGTGTCGCTGTGTGTGTCTCTGTCTGTGTATCTGTCTGTGTCGCTGTGTGTGTATCTGTGTGTCTGTCTGTGTCTCTGTGTGTGTATCTTTTGCCGTGTGCGCAGCTTGTGTGTGACATCACACAGAAATCCATCTATATGACTTCCTTTTAGCAGGGTATCAGAGTCAAAACTGTTACTTCAGTCACATTTAATACACCATGTTATTACTAATACTTAGATTAGTTATTTTTATTCTATGTTAAAGTATGGTAGCCCTTAAGGGACACAATAACATGATAAATAATGTGTTAAAAGTTTAACTGAGAATATGGGCATAGATAGGCCTGATTTAAGTTCAGTTTGACAGTTTTTTGATTACTTTGGGTGTAATCACTTAAATTATAATCAATGTAAAATACTACATAATTATGTTTTTCTTTACTGTTTCAAATGTTGGCATGTTTAGTCAGTTACGTCACCAGTTATGAGTAATTAGTAACTAGCATATCCCACTTCATTTTGACACATTTATCAGCACTCAGAATAAATTAGAGAGGAGCAGAATATTTCTACATCCATGCAACAAATAATAACATAATTCAGAGTAAACCTGTTTTACAGAAGCAAACCTTTCATTTATCACCTTTTTAGTCCCATTCAGCAGGAAAACTAGAGTTCTCGCACTTCATTTCCTCTTCATCTCTGCTTTTCCCTCACTCCAGTACCACCTCTTCTTTCTTAAAATCAATAGCCTTCATGCCGGAGACAGACGTGTAGACTGGGGGCTGTGTCTCATGGGTGGAGCCAAAAGCAAATGCATTAGTCGTGTGTCGTCAGGGGAATGGAGGGCTGTGGCTGCACCTGGGACCAGAAGAAAATCAGAGGAGGCCCAGAGGAGAGAGGAGACACAAAAACATATATATCATATTTGATGGTTTTGTTACATGTACTGTCAATATCGTAGTGTATATTTTGGAAGGCTCCTTTCCTCTCACTACATAAAACTCTTTGGTCTTATCTCCTAGGCCACCTTCTTTCTGGTAGCTCTCACTTCAGATTTATTCATATATTCTCTAGCCTTCCTCTGTATACTGTATGTTTGTAAACATTTTCAGCAGAGATTGACTGGTATGCTTTTTTTCATGGCTGATATCGATTGTTTAGAATCCAGAGAAACCAACGTCTGCTGATATTTTGTGTCTGATATGTAGGGCTAATTTTGAATATTGTCCTCAAGTTATGTATTTTATATTTACTAAAAACTCACCCACCACAATTCTTTTAACCAAAAACCTATAATAGAGTTTTGTAGTAATGTTTTGTTCAGTTATATTTTTGCACTGAAGTGTTTAAATAAAGTTTTATGTATATACAGTACAGGTCTGTCAAAACAAAATACTGGGCTGTGCTGGAGATTTATGGCTGATATTTGTGGCATAAAAAAGTTAAAATATCTTTGCTCTCTAATTTTCAGTCTAGTCTCTTCTGTTTATTCCTATATGCATTGATGCCATTCCCACACTGAGCACTTTAACTTTGTGGTTGGGCTGCACAATAATCACAATTAAACCAAGTATAATGTCTTTTCTTCTATAACAAAAAAAGGTTAAATCTGTAGTTTTGGCATTTACAAACATGTTTTTAGTCTTCCCTCATACTGGGCTAGTCTAAAAAGTGCATTGCAAACTTAATCTTGATTTGAAAACATATTGCAAATGTAATTCAATACTACATTAATAGATTGTTTTCCAAAACTGGGTCTCCCTTGTAGACTATTTCTGTCCTTTCTGCACCAAGCTGCCCTTATTTAGATCATCTCATTCAGAAGTAAAGAGTAAGATTAATAAGTGAAGCTGACATGTACATTATGAAGAAATATTTGTAGGTTTAAAGGTCTTATATCACACAAAATTGACTTTTGTGACGTTTTAGTGAGGTTAGAGTGTAGTTACATCATCAAAACAATTGTTGTGTTTTGTTTCACACTTTTTTAAATTTTTTATTATTATTATTATTTTTTATTATTGTGATGTCATGAAGCTCTAGTTTTCAAGTTAACAACTGTCTTTTACCTTTAGTTCAATAGAGATTGGCAATTCAAGGGTTGAAATTATCCAAATTATTCTTTTGAAGGTGTATGGAGTTTAAAAGCACTGTGGAGCACTTTGTTTGTTTTCAGTTTGAGAGAAGAACTAAAAGCTAGATATGTTGGGTTTGTGTGTTAAACATGTGCGAATGAAACAAAACACTACTTCAGGTATGTTTTGATGAGGAAACAACATTATAACATAGATTGCAAAAACAGCATCGTATGGGCCCTTTAAGATTATTCTGCCACTGTATCTCAGTTATACAATGTTTACAGTTGCATTATAAGGAGTTGACAGAACTCCAAAGTTGACAGAGTCCCAAGTTACAAAACATCTGAATCATGCAACACCTTTATCTTGATATGTATTTTTAGCTAGCTTCATATGCCCTTATTGGTAATATCAGTTGCTAGGAGATCAGTAATTTTCCAGCACCAACTCCCTCATAAGAAACGGCAAAGTTAAGCAGTACCTTGAATGACCACTTGAGGCAGAATAAAGTTGTACATTCCAGTAGTGAGATCTGTTGTATAGTCTGAAATAACTATTTTCAGAAAGTTCAATGAAGACATCAGACAAAAAAGAATCAATTACCCTCATTTCATGTCAGTAAAGAGGCCTCCGTTAAAAGGCTGAGAGCTGTGACTCATTGTTTTAGGCTAGACGAGTCATGTCAGTATTTGTAAACAAAACTCTGTCAGCACAGATTTTAGCCAAAGAGGATGAAGGGCTGTAGAGCACTTAAAAACAGAATAAAAGCAAACCGTGTGGTGGTGTCTCTCAATACTGTACAAATATAAGCCACAGAATCGGGTTGCTTGAATATAGTTTTTGCTTTCCAAAAATGACTTTGGATTTTTAATGCCTCCATAAACATAAACAAATATAATATTATGTAATGGTTGTTTTTACAGCAAAGGAGTTTAAGTGTTTATTCTTCTAATAAGAACTGGAATTAACAATTATTTTGTATTATTTTATTAAGGACTAGTCAAACAATGAATCCTATTGTACTCTTGACAGTTTATATATGTGAAAAAATCAATTGTGTCAGTTCGCCAAAAGATTTTAGAGTAAAGATGCTTCACTACTCATCCAAGCAACTTTTTCACCTCTGGCCAAAAGTGTGGCACTGCTACGATCCTACCTGGGCAACTGAAGGATTATACTGAAACCTCTAGAGTTCCATCAATCCAATTTTTTTCAGCTTTATCCGGGGTCGGGTTGCAAAGGCAGCAGTCTGAGAAGGGAGGCTCAGACTTTCCTTTCCATTCACACTTCCCTCAGCTCTTCTGGGGGGATCCCAAGGCGTTCCCAGGTCAGCCCAGAGACACAGTCGCTCCAACGTGTCCTGGGTCTTCCCCGGAGCCTCCTCCCATGGGGCGTGCCTGGAAAACCTCTCCAGGGAGGCGTCCAGAAGGCATCCAGAACACAGGCCCAATCCACCTCAGCTGACTTCACTCGATGTGGAGGAGCAGTGGCTTTACTCTAAGCTCCTCTTGAGTAACAGAGCTCCTCACCCTACCTCTAAGGGAGCGCCCAGCGACCCTATGGAAGAAACTAATTTCAGCTGCTTGTGACCTATGGTCACCTTGAGAGTTTATGTTCATAAAAACAAGCCAGTTTAACTTTAAATATGTTAATCAGAAAATTCTTGGTTGATTGTTATAATCTGTAGATTTTTTTCAGATTAAAATGAATTCAGCTACCCAGTGCTAATTTGAAAATGTTATATCCTTGAGCGATGGCATTTCTTGTTTTTGAAAGCACTTTGAAAAATGCCTTTTACCTTGTTGCTCCCCTTTGTGTGTTCTCTGTGTATTCTGTTGCATCATATGGTCGGCAAAGATGGCAATTTAATTTAGCCGCGAAGTGGAAAGGGATCCGAGTGCAGCAGGTGTTGGGCTGTGGGAGGAAGACTCAATCCTCCTCTGCCAAAACCAATTATCAATGGGAAACATGAAATATGGTCTGGGGAGTGTTACACCATAGGCTCATGGATATGCATATTTATTCATTTTTGTTGTGGCAATAGATTCAAGGCCAGCTTGTGTTTTTATTTAGTGTACAAGAGCATTCACTGGACTAGCAGCACCTTTCTAGTTACAAAATTCTGTCCACTAAATGTTACTGTAATCTTAACTATCAACTTTACGTTTATTTAGTTAAAAATACACTATGTTACTTTTCTGTACTTTTCTGTTGACGGGACGAGTCCACCACCTGCTTTCTACCTGGAGTTATTAGCATTAAAACTATTGATCTTTCTTCAATGCAGGTGGTTTTATTGTTGGGGTTGCCTCTCTGCAGATCCAGTCTGTAACTTGTCCTAGTGCTTGTCTCCATGGAAATATACAAGTTTAATGACAAACTGTGGAACATTCAAGCAATATCCATCCATCCATCCATAGCCATAACATCTCCATGGAGACAAGCACGTGGTGTACTGTCCATAAAAAAGTTACATAATGTACCTTTAATGTATGGTTTATGTTCATATTTGTATTGCATTTATGGATAGGTTTAGCAGTCTTGGTTTGGGCTTTAATGGAAGAAAAATTCTAAATCAGTGATAACCTGTGACTGTGTTTGGCAGGTGTATTTTTTGGTCTTTTTAGTGACTTATTTTCTTATTTCCTCTTCACAGGACTTCCTGGGTCAGGCGCACTGCACTCTGGGAGAAGTGGTGGGGTCTCTCGGCAGCCGCTTAGAGAAGTCTTTGGGGTGAGTGAGTCAGCTCAGCTTTGCAGCACATACTTTCATACCATCATACAGTTAAAATAAATAAATAAATAAAATAAATAAAATAAAAAAAAACTTTAAAGTGAGCATTTATGTAACCTTTATAGTAGAGGGTCCTCCTACTCATCTCCATGAAGATGCCATTGCTTTGCCTGGAATGCTCCACAGTATGGTATTAGATGTATTTCTCTTGCAGTTATCCAGTTACATGTGGTTTTATTGCTAACAAAAATACATGTAAAACTTGTATTCTTATTGTGACAGGTGTTGCCTCTTCATTGATCTGATCCGTACCTAGTCATGATGGCGTCATCTCCTTGTCTCTATATATATACGTTATTGTGGAATTCCTGGCAAAACTATGAAATCTCCAGGGAGAAAAGCTGATGACACTCCACTAAAAGGTCACATAAATAATTCATTTATGAAGTTACTGAATTTCATTACTTATTCTAAACCTGCAATTTGAATTTATTGATTAGTTGGAATTGAGGTTGGATTATTTTTTTAAAAAACTATTGCAAAATTATTTCTCCTGGGACTATAAATTGAAGGTTGTATGCTTCAGAAATTTGAATGGTGTGTTAGCACCATGCAGAAACTGATATTCTTAGTCTGGGGAGCTTGACATTTCCACAAGTAACATCAGGTGGTTCATCTGTTACAAATCATTTCTGCTGTTCCTCCAATATGTTGTATTTGGCTCATAGAAGCTATTTAGTGTTTAGCTTCCATAAGAGCAGTAATTGAAATACATTATACTGTACACACATTCAGTGGTGCAATGAAGTGAAGTAAAAGTAGTAAAGCACTGTATTTAAAGGTACACTAGAAACATTTCCATCATGTGTCTATGGGGATATGATAGGGAGGTTGCTTTCCCTTCAATTTACAACAGTATGGCAGTATTTATTTACAATAAAACAATATAATGAAAAATATGGATTTTAGGGAAGGCTCACCTCTCCACAAATCAAACTGGTAAATTGGCTTGGTGCTCACAGGTATCTGTATCAGCAACAGAGAATACTTTTAACTTTTTACTTCATTACTATATTTGTACTTTCTACTCTACTACATATTTGAACAGGACTGAAAAACAACAGTATTTTTATTATAGTCTGAGACCTGCTGAAAAGCTTGAGGGGGTTATTTTTTCTAACACATCTGTAGTTTGAATAAACAAAAATTTACAAAATTTAAAAAATTGTAAAAAAATTTATGATTTATTTGTTTCTGTTAAACAAAATTCTGCACAAATCTATATTCAAGTCACTACATTTGAAGCTTTATTAGATCTCAAACTCTGGGCGAAATACTTTTACTTTTTACTCTTTAGGTATATTTTTAAATGGGTACTTTAATACTTTTACATAAGTATATTTTTTCATGTGATACTTTTACTTGAATATTTCTTTGCTCTATCTGTACTTTTACTTGAGTAACAAAGTTCAGTACTTCTTCCACCACTGCATATTGATTAGGCCTGTTTTTGGTCTCTGAGTGTTGTAGATTTGTGCTGGATGTTTTGGGAAAATTAATATTTAGACATTTTAGATTAACGTCCTGTGGTGTTACCTGGAGTAAAAAGTTGAAGAGCTGTATTCCGATGTGAGGAAAGTGTTCTGGTCTTTTTAATAACTTAGATTTCACTGGTTGGATTAAGAGGCAAATGTCACAGAAGTTGCTGCACAGTAGTTGAGATCATTCCAAATTAGACTGATATTACAGTTGCTGGTGAAGGTTACAGAAGCAAATGTGCTATATCTGTTACCAAGATAGAAAAAGCTAAGTATTATGCAATGAAGTGGTGATTTAAGGTCATACTGTGTAAACATATATGAAAATAGAATAGATTCAGTATAATATAAGATACCACAACTTATTGAATTATCTTATTATGGTGTGATCACTTTGCCATCATGCATTTAAAAGTATAATGCATAACTTTTTTGTTCTCTGACTTTCTCTGCCCTTTTCCCCTGCTTGACTCCACGTAGATATAACTGCTTTGTGTGGAATGTTTCAGAGTACAGCATTAACCTGATCTAGTGTGCATTGTGTGCCATATATTTTGGTGTGCAAAAATACCTTGAAAAATGCATTCCTAGAGTCAGCAGGCTTGTCTCTCTATGGATCTAACCTACAACTGATGGCACTACCTGTTTGTTTCCATGTTAGACTTACAGTAGCTCTTGACAAACTTGATGAAAAGGTTTTATAAATAGCTTTTTTAAGATGATGCTCAGTATAGTATGTATAAGAGCACATTAGCCTGTGTTATCTGTGACGGTAATTGGTTTGTGAATGACAGTTGCATTTATCTCTCAGACAGAGCATGGCCTTTAACATGAAAGCCATAAATTATCTTATGCAATGTGTCTGGAGTCACTCAGTGAGGAATGTTAGAACTAATCTCAATTCATCTGGACTTGTAATGACTATGTAAATGAGAGCTGCTGTTAGGACATGAGCAGTTTGTCATTTTGATTTTGCCAGATTAAATTATGTCTTCTTTAATTCAGTTCTCCTTTGTTATTATTGTTTCCAATGATTGTCATATAATGTTTGTAAGTCCAAATGATCTCTCTGTATTTTTTATACAGAGGCATGTCTGCTCCCCACTCCCTCTGTTGCCCTTCGAGTCAGACATGGTCGGCAATAATATTCAACAAAATTAACTATCTCAATTCTGCAGAAAGCCACAATGTTTTTCAGTCCTCTGTCATATTTTTTTCTTTGTAAACAGACATATTTGCCTTAATACGAAAGGACCATGTGTGTCCCTGATTGGCTAATCAACATGTCAATCACACCTATCTGAACTCCGGGAGATTCAACACTGACCAGACTCACAACTTCGTAAAGTATTGGAGAAGTGAGTATTCTGGATCCCAGGCAAATAAGATGTAGTAGGGCATTTCTATACCATAGTTTACACAAATATTTTCAGTTAAACAATGAAATGTTTGCATAGTACACAAAGGGCTTAAGAAAATAACTATGCATATGATATTTATTTATTTAGACACATAGTATGAGTTCAGTAAGTTAACTCTGTCCATAGAATTGTAGTGGAAAAAGCTTTGGATATACTCCCAAAGAGAGCTACTTGGAGGTTCCTGGATTGCGTCATTAAACTTTTCCTCCTCTGTCTCCTCCTCCTCCTCCTCCTCCTCCTTCACTCTGGAGCAGGGGTCTGTCTCTTCTGTCTCATACTCCTCTTCTTCTTCTGCTTTGTCAGATTCTGTGGTTTTACGTGGAGACAGCTCAACTAGAAACTCACGAGGAGGTTTCTCTTCTTGTTTCAGCTCAGCCTGGTCACCTGTAGTCAACAAATACAAATATTTTTAGAAAAAGTCAAAATCCCATGGAAAAGAAATGCCTTATTTTTTATTTATTTATTTATTTTTTTTTTACATTTAATTTATATGTATCCTTTTTAGTTCCTGTTTTGTTTAGCTTTGAATGATGTTTTGTGCAGCACACTAACTTTATAACAATAAATTAAATGGAATCAAACATCAGAACATTTACATCACTGACCAGATGTGCCAAGAGATGAACAGAGAGATGTATTTGGACAAAACAATTTAAAAAAGTAAACACAACAGATGTGGGACAGCCTCATAAACTACTGGATTGATAAAATGTTTATTAAATATAGTTTTAGCTTGAGCTGCAACGAGGGTGTGACCAATTTTACAGCGTGTTACTATAGCAACAGCTTACAGTAAACAGTAACTCAATGGTCAAAAATATATCTCAATGAAAAGGGCAAAGATAATTAACAAGCAGCTATTTTTTCTTGTGTCTTTAAACACAGAACTACATTTTTCTGAGTTTATGACGAAAACAAGCACCATAAATCTTTGTTTAAAAAAAAATCACCATAAATCTTTGTTTCAGTTTGAGCTTACTATGCCACTGAAAAGAAATCATCCAACCAACCTAAACCTTAACATAAACATAGAAAAGTTGATCTCACCAATCCCAAAGAGGTCCAGTCCCTCTTTAGCCTCTTCTTGTTCAGTATCTGAAGCCTCTTTAAGTTGATCTTGCTCCAGTGAAGGTGGTTTCTTCATCAGTGGTGACCTCTGTATGAAAATGGTGTGTACATGAGTGATAGTGGTGGTCGGAGGGGCCGATGGCGCAGATTGGCTGCCTCGCTTCCATCAGTCTGCCCCAGGGCAGCTGTGGCTACAAAAGTAGCTTACCACCACTGAGTGTGCTGTGACTGAATAATGAACTGTAAAGCGCTTTGGGTATCTTGAAAGGTGCTATATAAATGCAATCAATCAATCAATCAATCAACCTCTTGTAGCTCCATTGCCTCTGTGGTCTTGACATTGTTTTTGACCTTTTCGCTTATCATTTTTTCAGATGTTATGGAAAAAACAAGACTTGCGTTGGCAGAAATGTTTCAGTTTTTTGTGCAGTTAATAAATTCAGTAGAAAAATCAAAATCGGATAAACACCAGTAACTCTGGTTTCCATGGAATCAGTAAATAACAGTGCAGTTTTTAAAATATTGAAACCATAATAGAATACAAAGTTAGAAAATGGAAGCTTCATTCAAACCAATTGTGACGTAATCATAACAGTACTGTAACACAAATATTAACTTTAAACCATGTTAATGGCTAATATTGATTGATTTACACCACAAAGAAAAAGGTTCCTGTGAAATGGATTTTCAGTGTGTGATGAATACCTGACCACACACACAAACACACTATTCTCTTCATATTCGTTTAAAACCCTGATAAAATATGATTTTACCAACACCAAAATGAATTCATGTGGAGTACTGATCCTTTTATGTCTGTTTATGGGTTTCGACTTCCTTAGGCAACATTTTGAGGTCTTTTGACCAATCCCAATTGATTGTTTTATTTTCAATTGTTATTAAAGCAAGAGTGCAAATGTTTCATCTCTCTGAAACAAGCCCTTGAGCAGCAGTCTCCTTAGTGAGTTTTTCC